GATAGTGATGCTTGGGCCTATGGTGGACATGGAAGGGTAAGGAGTTTTCTATATTAACTTGTGATATCTTTGCTAAATGGCGGTATATCAGTGCAACCCTTGTCAAATCAAGAAGAGCTACAAATTGTTGTACTTGATGACTTTTTGGAACCTAAGGTTTAAAGTTGTTGCAACTTTTTTATACCTCTATGGAGTTATGGACAAATATATTCCCTTGACAGGTGGGGCATGATGTAGAGCATTTCACATCACCTGAAGGAATACCTGGAGTTCCTGAAACAAATTTCAATGGTCGTCCAAACTCTTTCAAAGTACTATCTCCTCCTCAGGCATGCGTGGTAAGATTCCAATTGTGGCCATTTATATATTTGTGCTTGGAATTGATTAGTGACTGCATGTTATGATTGTTCATTTAGTTTTGGACATCAAATTTTCTGTATATACGGTTCCTAGCAATTAATCTGCAACTTAAGTTTTATCTTCAGCATCTAATTGGAAAATTCATAAACATATTTTCTTTCATTTTTCCATTGTGACTTTAGTTTTAAAGAACATTCCATTATTCCCTTCAAGCTCCAAACTAACTAATTATTCCCTCATTTGTGAAGGCCTATTACAGAGTTGAAGAAAGCTTAGACGAAGTCCAAGATTCCAGTTTTACTGAGACTATATCAACCAATCTAGTGTTGGTAAGTGATGACATTGACGATCTTCAAGAATTGCCCACCGAAAATCTTCAGGAATTGCCTACCATGGGTAATAGTGATGATGTTGACGATCTTCAAGATTTGGCTGCCATGGGTAATAGTGATGATCTTCAAGAATTGGGTAGCGTGGCTAATAGTATTAGTGATGTTGGGCAAAGAAAGGTTCAAGACCTGGAGGAGAACCCCCCGGATCTGGATGATGAGTCAGATTCTTGAGGCAGCTATCTATCTATCTATCTTTGAGCCATATTATATGTACAGATGGAAGAGAATCAAGGTTGTCTTGTTATGTTTGATGTTTTTAATTAGAATGGCTGTAAATTTAAATATAACCTTGTGAAACTGAATCCATCCATCTTTTGAAGTTGGTCCTTTAATTTGATGTCTGCAATAAAGCAACGGCTTGTATAAATTATATGTTGTCATTTAAGAGGACAGAATTGTTGCAATTTTGGGCGGGCTACGTACTGCGAGTACAAAAACATATGCAAATTAAATTATGAGTGAACAGTATCATTTTATTCCTAACCAATGCTCTACTTTTCGAATATAGAGTAAAAATATTGTTCTGCTTTATAGTAAATCAATTTACTTGTTTTACTATTTTAATAAAGAGATAAGTATAAATTGTTACAATTTTAAAATAGAATGTTATGTAAGTCATAATATTACTTTTAATTTTGTGTGGATAGAAAGAAATATAGAATAGCGCTGGAGACAATATATCCTCCGCAACAAAACGTCAACCACCAAATTAAAAGTCTAGAATCAAGTGCAAACATAGCAAAAGCTCTTTGTATGAAACCAAGGTTGTCGGCTTAGCAACACAACAGAACAGAACAGCCATGGAAACTCCAGTTCTTGTTAGGCAGTGCCTACCGGAAACAGTGGGCTGAAGGCCCATTACAATTTACAAAATGGCCCAGCTAGAAAACAATGGTGGTGATAGTCTTGTCAACGTGGCAGAAGACAAACCCATGGCTCACCATAACTCCCAGTCACCAGGACACCATGAATTAGCAAGAACCAGTTTTTCACTTTCATTTCAAATTCAATTAGATTTTAGACATTTCGCCATGTTTCTTGCCAAGGTGAAATTCGTCAACAGTTTCTGTTTTTTTTTTTTTTTTTTAGTGCTAACGGATTTTGATGTAATCAATCGCAGACATGGAGAGCAACAACATTTGGCCTCTATGGGTACCTCAACTTCACAAAATCAGGTTTTTTGTAAGTACCCTTTGCTTAGGTTGTCGTGTTTTTGTTTATAGGTTTCTGATAAATTGCGTGATCCAGGCACAGTTGAATAGTTGTTGTATTTTTTTTTCAAGTGCACGTACAATTTTTTTGTGGTGGAAAACTTCTTGGCTTTAACTTGGAAATGAAGTGTGCTTCATATCTGCTGTGAATTTCAATAAAATTGTACCCCTCAGTATGGTAAAAACCAATGATCTCTGAAAAAAACACACAAATTTAAGAGTGTTCTTCAAGTAAAGTATTGAGTGCTTAAATACTTTATATCAATTTATATTCTTCAAGTGTTAGTAATGCTATCCGTGGACCGTGGTTGTATCTCTTATACTCATACGCTTAACTTTTATCTTTACCATTGGTTTAAGTTATATATGTATTGTGATTATATTATATATATCCCTACTGAAATTGTTTAGTCCTGGTGTATATTCTAATTCAGGGAACATTCAAAAAAATTCAACCCTGAAGATATGCAAGCACAAATGGAAACGAAAAATTGTGTTGTTACTGGTGCAAATTCTGGCATTGGTTTTGCAATTACTGAGGGTTTTGCTTCACGGTTATTAGTCATTTCTTCTCAACAGCCCCTTTTTTTTTTTTTTTTAATTGATGTACGTAAAGTGTAAAGGTGTGACATTCAGAGGTACGGTGATGAAGACTAATCCTGCTGCGTGTTTTCAGTGGAGCAACTGTGTATATGGTATGCCGGAACAAAGAGAGGGGAGAAGCCGCACTTTCCAAAATTAAATCAGCAACTGGAAATAAAAATGTTTACTTGGAGGTAGTTGCATGGCTTCCTTTTCTAAGTAATTGTATATGTTGTAGATGGCTTATCCATCATAATTCTGTAGGTGTGTGACATTTCATCGGTTAGTGATCTCAAATCATTCACCTCCAGATTCTCTTCAACTAATTTGCCCATTCATGTCCTGGTATGTTTTCCCACTTTATTTTTTAAATATAATTTTTTGTTGATAGGACTATGTTATTTCAAATTCATGCCAAACTTTAATCATTGCTTTTGGAATGTTTTTGGCCACTTTCGTACTAAGGATTCATAGTGTTTGTCAAAATTTTACTGTGTTGTCTCTTCTACAATTTCATTATGGGCTGGTTTTCCTAAAACCATTCAATTGTTGTAACTGATCATATCTTATTTCTTAAGGTAAATAATGCTGGAGTGCTTGAGAATAATCGAGTTACTACACCAGAAGGGTATCATATTTTCACCTTTCAAGAACATTATATATGTATTTACTGTACTGTACTTTTAATCTTTGCTGATAAAGTGATGAATATATCCATATCTTTTTAATAATATCAGATACGAGCAGAATTTTGCTGTAAATGTTCTGGGCACTTATACCATTACGGAGCTGATGTTGCCACTCCTTGAGAAGGCTGCTCCTGATGCGCGGGTTATTACAGTTTCATCAGGTGGAATGTACACGGCTCCCTTAACCAAAGATTTACAGGTAAGTATTTTCCAAGTTTCAATCCCATCCATCTTGCTTGGATGATTATATTCTTATGGGTTGTTTTTTGCAGTTTAGTGATAACCAATTCAATGGAGCTGTACAGTATGCTCGGAATAAGCGAGTTCAGGCATGTAATACCTTCCCTTCTAGTTTAATGATTTTCTTGGTGATTTTAAATTAGTGCTTTGGTATGGTACTCTTTAGTGTTAAATGTCTCCTACGTTTCAATTTAGTAGTTGCCCTTGCTTGATCCATTATCTCCTTACACTATTACATAGTGACACAATAGAATGCTATGTCAGGTAGCACTGACAGAGAAATGGTCTGAAATGCATAAAGATAAGGGTATTGGCTTTTATTCGATGCATCCCGGATGGGCAGAGACTCCTGGGGTTACACAGAGCTTGCCGAGTTTCTCAAAATCGTAAGCACTCCTTAGCTACGTACTACTTTTTTTTTTTTTTCTCTTCAACTGGTGTAGTATTTGCACGCGAGTGAGTATATGCTCCTCGGGCATGTAGATGTTGATAGCATGTCATTCATGTTTGTAGGCTTGAAGGAAAGCTTAGAACAAGTGAGGAAGGGGCAGATACGGTAATCTGGTTGGCCTTGCAGCCGAAAGAAAAGTTGGTACCAGGAGCGTTTTATTTCGACAGAGCTGAAGCACCAAAACATTTGTTGTTTTCGGGGACGAAGAACTCCCATTCTGAAATAGACTCCATTGTTGAAAACCTGCGATCTCTTGCTGGTCTTTCTGGTGCTCGATTGTGAATTATTTCTTCCACACTTGTATCGAGACCATATCTAAGTGATTTCAACATTTTTTTAAAAAACTGTTTGGATTACATATGTGAAGGGTGAGTATAGACATTGTCAAGAATATGATACCATTCTTGTAAAATGAATTATATTACTGTACGAGATTGTTTTATTTTGAGGAGAAACCTCACAGAATAAATTAAAAGGAAAGAAAGGGTATAGATTTTAGAGGAAGTGGAATCTACGAATGGAAACCAAAAAGTCAACGTCGTTGTTGTTTGGTATTCAAAGTCAGGGGATGCAACTAACATCTTTGTTTGATGTACCACAATTGTTAGCTTCCCATAGGAGATGGCAATTGTAATTCAAAATATGGACTTTAAAAGTCATGGTCGTATTTCAGTGTTTAGGTTGAGGACAAGTTTTGCATATAAAAGTCCAATCTAATCAGCTGTCTTAATTATTTTTAATAAATTATGCATATTACCAAACAGCTATCAGCTAACAACTAATTGACCGAACATTTTTCTACAATCAGCTAATGTTATCAACTATTTATACCCTCAAATTAATACAATCAGCTAACAGCAATTTTATCAAACCGATATTTTCTCAATTTCTTTCGATTCAAAAAATCAATGTCTTATCACTAGATTCGATATTGTAATCATTTATTTAGAAAGGTAATCACATTACATAGTAGTTGGAAGATATATAGATATAAATGGTACAACAAACGTATAAATTTTCCAAATTGTGTAGCTTTATTTACGGAGTATTCCAGTTCCACAGTTAAAGCATAGCATTAAGCATTCCAAGATTATTCCTATTCCTATTTATCCATCCTCCGCATATATTTTTCAAATCAAAATCACAAATGTATAGCCACAAACCATGGCGGCTGCCCCTTATTCCTCTCAAAGTTCAACTATATAAAAAATATAAAATCGCCTCAGTTGAAATTTGGTACCTAGTTACTTTTTCATCCATTTGATTTGATGGATCGTTTCTTGATGGGCACAACGCAATTGAAGATCTTGAAACTGCAGTTGGTTGTAGTGGCTTTGGCTTTAAGGAGATGATGAATCTGGTCACAAGTCCTTCCAAGCTTTTCTCTCAGTTTACGCGAAGGGTTTCGGATCTAGATTGGAGGCTTCTGTTGCTGATTCTTCTCCCTCTCTCTCTTCTGTTCTACGCTTCTCTCTCCACCATTTCCTCTGCTTTCATCGGCGGGGCGACCTTCGTCACCAGCCCCCTGAGGTCCATTTTCACCGTCGTCGACTCGCTCGAGAATCTGACCGCTATCGCCGCCGCGCCACTGCCGGCCGAGGTGATTACGCTCCGGTTTAAGAACGAGTCGGAGGCGAAGGCAAATGCTACAGTGGCGCTTCCGCGCCGGTCGGGCAGGAAGGTGAGTTTGGATGGATCGAAGATTGCGGTTTGTTTAGTGGGTGGAGCTCGGAGGTTCGAGCTGACGGGGCCATCCATTATCCAGAACATTCTCAGAGTCTATCCCAAATCTGACCTCTTCCTTCACAGCCCACTGGATTCCAACTCTTACAAGTTGTCGTTGCTCAGAAACGCACCCAGAATCGCGGCCGTTAAGATCTTCAAGCCCACTCGCATCAACGAGACCGAGTCACAGGCCAGAGTTCTAACGGCCCGAAACTCGCCAAATGGCATTCAGGTATGTAATGTAATTCTATTGCTCTAGTGTTTGTTCTGTAATCAAATTTGCTTCTTTTAGCTTTTTGAAAATTAAATGAACTATTTTATTTAGCAATTCAATTTAGATTATTCGGGGTCGGTGGCAGTTATGGGTGGCGGCTCTTGTTTGTTGCTACCTGCTGCTGGTAGTTTGGCTGGCATATGTATTTGTTGCTATACATACATCATACATGAAGGAAATTGTAATGAATAATAACAATTTTCACACATCATAATTATTAATTATTTATATAGTAATCTACACTCGTTTCAATAATTAACTTCGATTAAGACATGATATGCATGGGATAGAGATTGAGTAAGTTTTTAATAAGCTAAGGATTGTCTTATCACTGGAAATATAATGTATGCATCCAGCATCCCGATCATTTTCTTGTTTTAGTAATATTAACAGCAGCTCATTCTAATTAACTCCCCTGAAAATTAAATTAAAGAAAACAACCTTTTGCTTATTCCGTATATTATAATTTATTCTTCCAAAAGGCTGAAAAATCGGAGTAAAATAGCTAAAAATAGAAAGAATAAATGTCTCCTATTTAAGAAAAAACATAATACTTTTAAATTAAATTATAAAATTATTACATTTTTCTTATTACATTCCTCTTCATTCATAGCAAACATTTAGTATGGAGTATTATATTGTTTAGTATTTATTACGGAGTACAAATTTTTGCCTATAATGTATGTTATTTGGTCAGCAGCTCTGCTATGAAAAATTGGGAAGATATGATAAAGGGAGAAAAGTTAGTTGCCTGATTTTGTATTGTATCGTATTTTAAACCGACAGTAGTATCCTTAACGTGTGTTTGGTTGGTTGATGAGAGATGGAATTGTTGACTGGTGGTGTGTTACGTTCCTACTCCTACAGGGGTTGTTGCAATACTTTAATCTGGTGGAAGGCTGTCTCACTATGATCCGTGCGTTCCAAACCAAGAATAACTTCACCTATCAATGGATCGTCCGCACCAGAGTTGACGGATACTGGTCCCACCCTCTAGCACCCCAAAACTTCATTCCCGGACACTACGTTGTCCCGCCGGGCTCATCGTACGGCGGCCTGAACGACCGAATCGGCATCGGTGACTTCAACACCTCTGTGGTGGCTCTGTCACGGCTTTCCATGATTCCCCAGTTGGATGCAGGGGGGCATGCGCAGCTCAACTCCGAGAGCGCATTCAAGGCCCAGCTCACAACCCAAAAGGTACCTTACAAGACTATTCGCCTCCCGTTCTGCGTCGTAACGGATCGGCAATACCCCTTCCCTCCGGGGGCGAATGGGGTCCCCGTGGCGGCACTGTCCAGCCCGGGGCCATTAAGCGGGGCAAAATGCAGGCCCTGCAAGCCTGCGTGTAGTCGGGCTTGCGTTCCCCCGGTAATGAGCCGCCTCAACAAATTGTGGAGCTGGACGGATTGGGCGAACAACACCATAGAGCTGTGCGACGCTCACGGGGAGTGGGAGGAAGGATGGGAGAAATTATTCGATGAAGTTGCCGGTAAGAAGCTGGGTGCAGCCCGGAAGCGAGTGAAGAAGCTGAGTGTTCAAGGATGTATAAGGGACTTCAAGGCGATGAAATTGAAGTCGGCATCATGGAAGGCTCCTTCTGCAGTGGAGATATGCGAGCTAGGCTTGCTTGGCGGCTTAAAATCTGGGACTGTGACTGGCTAAACCCGGCCACACTATTATATTTTTAATTATTTAATGAATGTCGGTGCCGTCTGTCTTGTATATATAGGCCGGAGGGGCAGACTCTAGCTAGTATAGATCAGAATTATTGAATATAGTATATTATTATACCACCTTTAAGTTTTGATCTTTAATTTTTTTTTTGAGCCGGGGGTAACACACACACATCCAGGAAAATTAAGAAATGAAATTTATTAGAAACTGTAGTCGCCGCGCCGGTTGCAAATATGATAAGAATGAGAAAAAGAGAGGAATTGAATTTAACTAGATGATGATGATGCTAGCTAGTAAATGAAATGAAATAAAATAAATTATTTCAACTACCAAATAAGAAGTGGCACGTACGTACTTTTAGTTGTAAAATAACTAACATACATGTTTTTTCTTCGATCACCAAGAAGTGTTATTATATTATTGGGCGGGTTTACATTACTGGATGTAAGATTGGCCGGTGATGTCGAGATCGCGGTCCCCAGTGGAGGGCGGCGGTTGGTGCTTGGGTTGGACGGTGGCCTCTTCCGGCCCATCAGCACTCTGTGTCTTACTGGCAGCCACCGCCGGTGGTTTGGACGACTGATTATTAATATTCTTATTCTGCGCCGGCTCCTCATCTTTCCCGTAAAATCCACCGCCGTAACCTTCTTTTGTGAGGGGTTGCATGGGGGAAATATACGGCGGTTGCTGCTCCGGCCTCGGCCTGCCCATGCTAGCCTCGTCTCTAACGTTTACCCCCTCTTCTTTATCTCTCTGCATTATATATATTGCCAATTCAAGCTAAGGCTTTTTTAGCAGCGCATGCAATGCAATAGCAGGATTATATCATTAGGGGATGGATTGCCTTCCTATATATATGTTGCAATTAAATCACAAAGCTAGCTAGCTAGCTAAGAATTATTGACGCGTGTCCTGTATGTAGAAAGACGTGGCCACGGACTAGAGCAACCACGCGTCCACGCTTAGCTTGCTAGCTAATGAGATTTGATTGCATTATATATTTATATCCTGATCTTTATATTTAAATTGATATTTAAGAGTATATCAACGCAAAATTATATATGAGACATAGATAATTGAATGTGAAATTTATTTATTTAAATAAAGAAAATTGTAATTTATGTCCTTCTATAATATGCCAATTATTATTATCATTCATGAATTATTAATAGTGATGGGGTGTGAACCCCGTGGGCTCAAGGCCCAAGAAGAAAAAGGATCAAGCCCAGAAGAAGAAAGGCCCAAAATAAATATGGGCCAAACCAAGTAGTCGGCTCGAGTCAAAAGTAGGGGCGAGCGCGAGGTCGGCATAAGTAGGGCAAATTATGCCCTGGACCCGTGTCCACAATGAATAGTGGACACGGGCCCAAAACGACGTCGTTTTTTAAAAAAAAAATGCGTCATTTAGTTTAAAAAAAAAATTGCACGCGTTTTGCCGTTAACGGCGTTTTTATTTTTTATTTTTTTATTATGAATGTACAGTTATGCCGTTATGAATGTACAGTTATGTCATTATGAATGTACAGTTATGCAATTATGAAATTATGAACATAGAGCTCTAACATTATGAACTTACAATTATGAACATATATAGTGATAAAATTATGACCATGGAGCTTTAAAATTGTGAATATAGAGCTTCGAAGATTATGAATGTACAGTTACGAAGTTATGAATGTACAGTTATAGAGTTATGAATCTACAGTTATGGAGTTATAAATCTACAGTTATGAGATTATGAATCTACAGTATGGAATTATGAATGTACAGTTATTGATCGAATTATGAACAAAGAGCTCTAACATTATGAACTTACAATTATGAATATATAGTGATAAAATTATGAACATAGAGCTCTAAAATTGTGAACATAGAGCTTCGAAAATTATGAATGTACAATTATGGAGTTATGAATGTACAGTTATGGAGTTATGAATGTACAGTTATAGAGTTACGAACGTACATTTATGGAGTTATGAATGTACAGTTATTAACATATAGTAATAAAATTATGAACATATACTCCTATAACGAAGCGGTCTGAATTTTTTTTTTTTTAAAAAAAAAAAGAAAAAAAAAAGGATATAACAGTACTGTTACCCGTGTCCAGCAAGCATGCTGGACACGGGTCCAACGCATAACGATTGCATAAGTAGTAGGTCGGCCTGGAAGTAGCCGTTATTCTTACATTATCACCAATGAAACCCATTTACTTCCCTATTTACTACCCAACTAAAAGCCATTAATCTCCATTTATTATTCATAAGAAACCCTTTAATACTCTTCCGTTGCCAAGACAAAGTGCAACCCCCACTACACATTATCATTCTTAATGACCCATTTACTTGGCTATTATTCCCCCATCATTAACCTATTTATTATTCCATTGAATCACCCAACGGCTAGCTCTCATTCTCCAAGCTATAAAAAGGAAGAAAGGGAACAAGATGGGGATCCATTCATTCATCTACATGTGGGAGAACTCTCCCAAGTACTATCCTATCACTTACTATTCTTTCATCCCCAAGAAGACTCCATCACTTTCCCAAAGAGAATGCACTCTTCCACAACCACTCTCCACTCATCTAAGCAAGAAGACCACATGAAGAAGACTCCATATGAGAAGACTCTACCACTCTGCCACGAATGAAGAAGACTCCCTCTCAATGTACAAAGTATAGTAGTTCTATCTCTAAACAACATCACATACACAAAATAGCTCTACAATATGTACAAAGACACCTCCAAAATACATAGTGAATTTAGGCTTGGCACCGTCCAAAAAGGCCTGTGGTTTTCACCTTTCGGTTTTCACGTACAAAAACATTGAGTTATATTTTTTTCTACTTATTTTTCTATAAGTCGCATTGTGAAAGGTGAATCCACCAACTAAGGGTCGCAAATTATGCCCTGGACCCGTGTCCACAATGGACACGGGCCCAAAACGACGTCGTTTTTCAAAAAAAAAAAAAAAACGCGTCATTTAGTTTTTTAAAAAAAAAATTTCGCGCGCGTTTTGCCGTTAACGGCGTTATTTATTTATTTTTTTTTTTTTGGTATTATGAATGTACAGTTATGCCGTTATGAATGTACAGTTATGCAATTATGAAATTATGAACACAGAGCTCTAACATTATGAACATATATAGTGATAAAATTATGACAATGGAGCTTTAAAATTGTGAATATAGAGCTTCGAAGATTATGAATGTAGGAGTTATGAATGTACAGTTATAGAGTTATGGAGTTATGAATCTACAGTTATGAGATTATAAATCTACAGTTATGGAATTATGAATGTACAGTTATTGATCGAATTATGAACAAAGAGCTCTAACATTATGAACTTACAATTATGAACATATAGTGATAAAATTATGAACATAGAGCTCTAAAATTGTGAACATAGAGCTTCGAAAATTATGAATGTACAATTATGGAGTTATGAATGTACAGTTATGGAGTTATGAATGTACAGTAATAGAGTTATGAATGTACAGTTATAGAGTTATGAACGTACAGTTATGAAGTTATGAATGTACAGTTATTAACATATAGTAATAAAATTATGAACATATACTTCTATAACGAAGCGGTCTGGAATTTAAAAAAAAAAAAAAGAAAAAAAAAAGAAAAAAAAAAAGAGATAACAGTGCCTAACGACACTGTTACCCGTGTCCAGCAAGCATGGTGGACACGGGTCCAACGCATAACGATTGCTAAGGGGTTGTGTTGGACCTCCCTGGGCTCAAAAACCCTAAAACCAACAAATAGTATAAATGTTGCTTCGCAATTTTTAAAATGGTACATATATTGTCCATCTCGACTCTCGAGTATAAATGTTGCCCCTTAATTTCCTCCCGTATAGTATGGGAGGGCAATATATGCATTTGGACATTCTGGCGGTGAGAGACGCAAGTCCGACTTTCGTCTGAGGTCAGCATTTCAAAAAAAAAAAAAAATAGAAGCTCCTTTCTCAACTTCTTTTCTCTCGTACTGTTCTCAGTCACCATAGAGAATCCATCTTGTTCATCATCTGTTAATCACCGACCTATGACGTGTAGCCAAACACTGATTTGAACGTAGATTCTGTCATCAAAGCTTTACATAAATCTGTCAAAGCCTTGGAATTACATCACAACAAAATTGAGAATTTGTCCACTACTGTCGCCTCCTCATTCGCATTCTCTCATACCCAAGCAACTTCTCTTGCCAACTTGGAGAAACTGGTCCAACAGCTACTCGCCACCCATGGTAAACAACTTGTCTAGGAGGAGAATTCCATTATCGTCGTTCAACGCGAAGGGGTCTCCACTGACCACAACGAAAAACATGGGTGATCACCACCATCGTTTTTTCCCATATCTTAAGGTCGAATTTCCTTTGTTTTCCGGCGAGGAAGTACCTATGATTGACTTCTTAGGGTGTATTTGGCTCGCACATGGGAATCGAAATGAGTGATGATAATGAGTTTTAGTGAAACTATTTTACATGTTTGGTTGTAGGGTGGAATGAGAATGATTATCAATAATGTTGTTTGGTTATGTATGATCCAATAATGGGAATAAAAATTTTAAATCAAGATAATTGATTTTAATATAAAGACACCTAAAACACCAATATGAACAAAAAATAAAAATAAAAGTCTAAAAGCACTAATCAAAGGGAATGAGAAGGAATAATGGAATCAAAGGGAATGATACCCTTATTTTATTTGGGTATGAATTTTTTAATTAAGCGGTATTTGAAATCTATAGTAGTATTCTAAAACCTATCAATTAAACAATACCAATCACTTTGATACCTATTCCTTAGAGTTAAACTTGTCAATCAAACACATCCTTAGTTGTGACTTTGTAATGTGATATTTGGGTTGGAGATGGTATTAGGCTCTTACTACATGATTATATTTTGATTTTTGTACATTTTTCTCGCGTACTTAATGCTAATTTGCACGTGGGTGGCGTGCCAAATACATATTTGCGAAAAGTCACTTAATCGCAACCGTTTGTCTTCATAATGCTCTGAATTCACGGTCACGATGCAAGTCAAAAGTCAAAAGATCAGTCATAAGACAGTGAACAGTGAACTTTAGCCACCTCCATTTTCTTTCCAAGGTTGATAAATTTGTCATCTTTGTGCTCGCTCACATCTGTACTCAGCCATGGCTTCCCAGATCACCGTCGACTCACGCAGCGGCTTCTGTACATCCAACTCAACTTTCTACAGTAAGCGGAACCCTATCCCTCTTCCGTCCACCCACTCGATAGATGTGACGACTTTCATATCGTCGCGTGCCCACCAGGGGAAGATTGCCTTCATCGACGCCGCCACCGGTCGCCAGCTCAGCTTTTCCGACGTTTGGAGAGCAGTGGAGTCGGTGGCGACGTCTCTCTCCCTTGACATGGGCATACGTAAGGGTCACGTTGTGCTTCTACTTTCTCCCAATTCCATCTTCTTCCCCATCATCTGCCTCGCCGTAATGTCCCTCGGCGCCGTTATAACTACCACTAATCCACTCAACACCCCCCGCGAAATCGGCAAACAGATCTCTGATTCGAAACCGGTTCTCGCTTTCACTGTTACTGAACTTCTCCCAAAACTAGCCGATTCGAATCTCCCTGTGGTGCTCATCGGAGGAGATTCCAGTTCTACACCGAAAACCAACCTGAGGATCGTGAGTAGACTGGAAGAGATGATGAAAAAGGCGCCGAGTCAGACTCGCTTCAAAGAAAGGGTCACTCAGGACGACACGGCGACTCTCCTGTACTCCTCCGGCACCACCGGGGCTAGCAAGGGTGTGGTCTCCTCGCACAGAAACCTAATCGCGATGGTCCAGACGGTGGTTGGACGGTTTAGGTTAGACGACGATGAAGAGACGCAAACCTTCATCTGCACCGTGCCGATGTTTCACATCTACGGATTAGCAGCATTCGCCACCGGGCTATTAGCTTCCGGGTCGACAATTGTGGTGCTATCCAAATTCGAGATGGATGAAATGCTATCAAGTATTAACAAATACCGCGCATCGTATCTCCCACTGGTGCCGCCGATTCTGGTGGCGCTAATCAACTTCGCCAACTCGATTAAGAACAAGTACGATCTCAGCAGCTTGAAGAAAGTTCTGTCTGGTGGTGCCCCTTTAAGCAGGGAGGTGATTGAAGGTTTTGTGGAGAAGTACCCGGGGGTGACAATCCTGCAAGGGTATGGATTGACGGAGTCGACCGGAATTGGGGCGTCGACTGACTCGTTGGAGGAGAGCCGGAAGTACGGAACGGCGGGGTTGTTGTCTCCGAGCATGGAGGCGAGAATTGTAGACCCCGATAGTGGGGAATTATTGCCGGTGAACCGCACCGGTGAGCTGTGGCTCAGGGGACCCTGTATTATGAAAGGTATGCGACGTGGACTTCCACTGATAAGTTGTTCAATTATTTGACCACTTCAACAACTACTCCAATCCCTACTTTTTCTATTGCTTTATTATTCTTGTTTTATTTTATTTTATTTATTAATTTATTACACAGTATATCTTATTCTTTCATTTTATTAATTATTACGTGGATGAATGATGATGGTCCATTGGTCCCCGGCCTATACACAGTTTTGAAGAGAAGCCCAAGCCGCCATATATATAAAATAATACTCCACTTGAATGCTTATTTTCTGCATAGTTCAAGCTTGTCTAACACATAACATGTATTTGAATATCAGTGTAAACCTATATCTGCACCTTGGGATATAACTAACTAACTGTTGCACTTGAACATATATATATTTTAGATGTTTTTTTTTTTTGTTCTTAGATATTTATTATGTAGCTATATGGTGCAAACAGGTTACTTCAGTAATGAAGAAGCTACGGCATCAACACTAGATTCAAACGGATGGTTAAGAACTGGGGATCTGTGTTACATTGATGATGATGGATTTATATTTGTGGTTGATAGATTAAAGGAGCTGATTAAGTACAAGGGCTACCAGGTATATATTAAATGTTTCGTTTCTCATTATATGTTGTTGTCAGTACAGTACTCATTTGTTCACTCCAGACCACTTAATTAGTTTTAGTCTGTTATAGTATATGGCAATATAATTATATTGATTTTGTAGGTTCCTCCGGCAGAGTTGGAGGCTTTGTTGCTAACTCACCCTGAAGTTGCTGATGCTGCTGTTATACCGTAAGTGTTCTAACTTTACACAATGCAATGCGATCTAGAAATTTTAATATGCATGCTAACTTCACCATTTTTCTCATCTTTTGGGTGATTATAAACAATTAATGTGGTTGTTACGTTTTTAACGAACTAATGAAGGAGTTTGTTATTGCTTGAAATTTAAGGTTTCCCGACAAGGATGTTGGACAGTTTCCAATGGTATATGTGGTGCGGAAAACTGGAAGTAGTATCTCAGAAAATGCAGTCATGGATTTTGTTGGCAAGCAGGTAACAGAACTGAGCTAGTGGTATATATAGATTTTTTATCCATGCAATTCAATGTATTCTTCAATTCCTCACTTAAAATTAAAATTGGGTGCGGTTTAGGTGGCTCCATACAAGAGGATAAGGCGAGTGGCATTTGTAGCTTCCATCCCCAAGAATCCTTCAGGCAAGATACTAAGGAAAGATTTAATAAAGCTCGCCACTTCTAAACTATGAGTCATTAAAGTTTTGCCATATGCGTGGATTGGACATTTTTCTGTTATGTAATAATTTTGATATGTAAGCAATAAATTACAGTTTTAAGATTTCATCCTTTCTGTTGTTGTAAAGGCTACTAGTGATCTTTTAAATATTGATCATAGTCAAGGGACCATTTCGATAATTAACTCATTAAATATTGATCATAGTTATTATTGCTGGATGTTATTAATTCTTGATTGTTACACCGTACTATAATCTTACCCAACATCTTGTTCAAGAATTTGTCAATTTATGGCTAGACTAGAATGGGTAAAGTTGTTTTGCTCCGCAGATTTAAATATGGGACATGCTCTTGTGCTACAATCTATAATTATGGAGTATAGTTTGTAGGTATATGTTGTTAAAATTCAAACCTTGTTCTTTTTCTTTTTCTTTTTTTTTTTTTAAACAACCCTTTTTCCATGTATATTATTCCCTCAAATCAGCTATTTAATACCGATTTGTTGATTATTTAATAGGAGTGTTTGGTAAATGATATCCACCACTCCTAAATCCTAATTTTCTTTTTGATATGACACATGGCGTTTCAATTCATGACATTATTAATTGTTATAAGCCATGTTATGATAGATTTATGTTATGATAGATTTCAGGTGGTGAAGGGTATTCTTTTAATCATAATATATATATATATATATATATATATATATATATATATATATATATATATAATCATAATCAAATGTGAACTAGATTTTTCGTAATAAGTGTGGACTGTAGACTAATTTGATGCATCAATCTTTGATGATCAATAATTAAAAATGACGGGGTCAATTTTATAAATATTAGTATAAAAGAATTAAGTTAGAGATTCTATGCATAATGCATCTATTTCTTTAATAATGTAATAAAACTAATTGGATTGTAAAATGTAAGAATTTATATTTTTTAAAAAAATATAAGAAGCCCATGAACATATGTTCACGGCTTAGGAAGTCTATGAACACTAATTAGTAATTTTTTTTTTGAAAGCCACTAATTAACAATTTGTTTACATGTTTAACTTAGATACATAATTTTTGAGTCGGTCTTCACAATGCAATATAATCTCTGCTTCAAACAATTGTTTAATAGATAATCATAGTTAAAAAAAAAAAAGAAAAAAAAAAAAAAAAAAAAAAAAAGATAACCATAAATTTAGAAGCACAGTGAATTACTCGGCCCGTAAGATAGCAAATGTCCAAAGTTGCGTATAATCTAGAATTCTAGATCCTTCTGGAACTATTAAGTGTAGCCAGCCAGTAGCTGGCGCCTGGCGATTTCCTTGAAGCAGACGAGAGTCGCTGCAGCACATTTCTCCTCTTGCCCTTTCTCTACGTCAAAAATCTGGTTGGTTACGTTTTAGTGTTTGAACGAAAATATCAATCGCGCTTCAGTCTTCGATCTTCTCTCCTCTCCTGTATAGGTAACTTCCTTCTTACTGATGCTGAGCTTCATGTTTAAGATGCACATTACAATACCGAGCTCAAAGTCTGAATCCTTTTTTTCTGTCTTGATCTGAGCTATATTCCATTCCCTCAACTAAAGGTTAATTCAACATTTATGCTGCTTGATCAGTCAACACTTAACATTTAGGTTAATTCAACTTGATCAGTCAACACTTAACAGTAGATGTAACTTTTGCTCCACGGTTTATGCTGCTTTAATTTACTTCCCCATTTCCACGAAAATCAATGCATTAGTATATGTTCGGATGTTCAGTAGTATAGTTCTTTCATTAAAAATTAGTATATCTTCTTCTGCTGCTCATGCTGGAAAAAAAAAAAAAACCAAGGATCTGAGCAGCAGTATTGTTAACTAAGATTGGTTCCTCTGAGGTGCAACTAGAAATCTTGTTGTATTCTTAGCATTAGCTTTGAAACCCTTCCATACTTAAGATTGCTGTTTTTTGTTGGATGCACATTGTTTGATTCCGTTGTTAATAGTAAATTACTAGAATTTGAAGTGTTTTACTGATCATTTAAACAAAAGAGGTCTGTGCCTGCTTTTGTTTACTTCTCATTGACTATAACAGTTGTTTTCCAGGCATTAATTCTTTTCAAGCTACATGGCAGACCAGCATCCATCTGCGGATCCAAACACAAGCAATGCTTCTGGAGGAGTTTCTGAATCATCAATTAAGATCAATATCAAGACCTTAGATTCGCAGAATCATGTTTTCCATGTGGACAAGAATGTAAGTTTTATATTTCTGTCTCTGAACAATTGCTAACTTGTATGTATTGTGGTTATATAGATAATGTCTCAGAGGAGCGAGTAGTTGAGACTTTTGCATAAACTGCACTATCTCTGTCCTGCCTTGTCTAGAATATGAAATACTGGACATTTGACAGATATAAATGTTGGTTTAATCATCTTCTTTCTTATCAATTAAATTAAGAACTGGTTAGATTCTTGGAACACTTCAGTGATTGTAGTTCAGTCTGCATAAATTCTACAATCATTTTGTATTTGTTTTCTTATGGTTTCAGATTCAAGTTTCTGCCTTGAAGGAGAAAGTAGCTGCTCAAACTGGTGTCCCTGTAGTACAGCAGAGGCTTATTTTTCGGGGGAAGGTTTTGAAGGATGGCCACCTCCTTTCAGAATATCGTATCCTACATATTAGTAAACAGCAATGTTGCTGGATTTCTTTCAAGTTGTTTCCAAAACCTTTTTTTTACACATAGCATCAATCTATGAGATAATTTCAGATTTTATTCATTCTATTTGTGTCTTTAAGGTGAAATGTTCCAGTTGCTTTGGGAGAATTGTCTAGGAGAAACTAGATATTTGCTCCTATTTCTAAGCTTTATCCTATCTGTGGGAATACTTCTGTTCCAAAAGGAACGACCTAGTTTATTGTGATTGGGGTTAAAATTTGTGATCTCTTTGGGTATTGTGTCTCAATCACATTTTTGTTGAGTATAGTATATAATATATGCTCTTTAACCATCCTGTGAAAGATTTTGCCTATAGTATTACTAAGTGTTTATAATAGGATGACATAAATCCTCTCATGTCCGTATAACCATTTCTGCTTTATTGATTATCTTCATAGTTTATTTAGAAGCCTTGACTTTCATAGATTTGGAGAATGGGGATGCATTGCACTTGGTAAGAGAGCTGTCCCAGCAACAATCCTCATCTGGTTCCAACACTACAGAGGCTACTGCACCTAATGGTATAATAGCTAATAATTGCTTATTTAGTTATTTTACAGCTTCCACTTTGACCACTTCTGTATTAAATTTTTAGAGATTTTATTGAATAATTTATTTTTGCACTCTAGGACAAGATCCAACCACTGGTGCCTCACGCAGCCGAATTGGGCAAATTTCGCATAGTGTTATGCTAGGCACTTTCAATGTTGGTGATCAAGGAGGCGGTCTTGTTCCCGATCTAAGTCGGGTGTGCATTATAATTTTCTTTTCATTTTCTACTTTTGCCTGTGTGTTTATATCTATTGAGAAAAAAACATTTCATTATTCCATTGCCTTTTAGGTTATTGGGGCAGTTTTAAACTCTGTTGGAATTGGGAGCCAGATTGGTGGCCAACATCCTGGCGTGCAGGTTATTGTTTTTCTCCCATTGTTTTACAGTTACTAGATTGCTAGTGATGTAAATATATGCCCATATTAGTATGTGTGTATATGAGTTCAGTTGGTTTTATGGTTTATGAACAGGTTACTGCTCCCACTTTTGCTTCACAAGGAAATGAAGCAGCAGAAGGCATCCAAAATAATCCTGGTGCTCGAAATCAGGCTGGAAATCAACTGCCTGGTCAATCTTTACCTCAAGCCATGCACATCCCGCTTGGCGCAACAATTCCAATTCCTTCACTTAACTTGGTAGGAAAAAAAGTTGTTTCATTATTTTTTGGTGTATGATGTTACTGATATGCTTACATGTTCTCTCTTTTGTTTTAGCCCATACCTGATTCTTTGCACACACTGGTTGAATTTATAAAGCGCATGGAGCTTGTGTTATCACAGAATGGTAATTTTCTCAGTTTGCTTCTCTTACTTTGATCTTCTGAAATAGCTTCCTGAGAAGCTGACAAGCCTTTCCTTTTCTTTGTACTCCAGATAATCTACAAAACCAATCACCTATTGATTCTTCAAGAGTAGAGTTGCCTACAAATGCTCGTGGTCTTCCAACTCCTTTGGCATTGAGCACTGTTTTGCGACTTATGGAGCATCTAGTTGGCAACCATGTTGTTTCAGCTCTATCTGTAAGACATTTTGATCCTAGTGTGCCACCTTTTTGTAAAGCTTTTACATAGGACTCTTTCATGATTGTGCTCAGTGTGTTCTTTCTGTCTGTCTGTTGTCAAACTACAATAATCATAATGCGCACATGCTGCTACTTTCCTCTGTTCATCATATTTTGTAAAGAATTAACTTTCACCTAGTTTTGCTATTTTCCCTTACTTTTATTTGCTGTTTACTATCAAGTGTGCTTCTACTCTAAATTTTATAGTGAATGATTCTAGTACAATGTTACCTTTTCTCAAAAATTGCTTTGGGTAGGGTATTGTTAATCAGTTGGCTTTCTTGGGTGTTATGTATTTCCCTTTTCTCCTTTACCTTACCTCCTTCTTCTTCTTCTTTTTTTAATAAATTTTTTAGTTTTTGTTTTCTTTCTCTTTTGTAATTCGCTTCAATTTTGTAGCGCATTGGAGGACGTTTGGAGCATGAAAGTGATTCTACTGATCCTACAGTAAGAGGACAAATAAGGATAGAATCTGTGCAATTAGGTCTTGCAATGCAGCATTTGGGTGCTCTGTTCCTAGAGCTTGGAAGGACAATATTGACGTTGCGAATGGGACAATCACCTGTATGCCCTTTAGCATGTCTTGTTGTTCTGTTTTTATGGAAGCAGGAAGGAAATTGATTTAGAACTTTCATGTGTTCTTGCAGGCTGATTCTTCAGTCAATGCTGGTCCTGCGGTTTACATTTCTCCATCAGGGCCAAATCCTATAATGGTTCAGGTGTTTTGGCAGTGTATCTTACTAATAGTGTATTTTTATTAAGCTGTTAGTATTTAAGTTGATCTCATAAGTTCCTTATAATGTTGCAGCCTTTTCCCGTTCAAACCAACTCTCTTTTCTCTGGCTTCACTTCTGCTCCATCCAATCCAGGAGGGTTCAACCCTGTTGGGATTAGCAGTGCACCAAGGAATGTAAATATACACATACATACTGGTATGGCTCATGTTTTGGTTGTAAGCTTATTCATTTTTGTTTCTTTCCTTCCCTTTTTTGGAGGGGAGAGGGCCAGGATTCAAGATGTATATTGTACATCCATCTGGTTCAACATATCAGGATTACTTTCTTAATTAGGGACATCATTGGCGCCCATCATTTCTGCAGTTGGTGCCAGGGCAGCCAATGGAGATGCAACTCCAGGAGAGCGTGCTAATAGAAGTGGCTCTGGTGGCTCCAGTCAATCAGGGGGTGTGCCTGAAATTAATAGTTTTGCAACAGATGTACCAGCAACAGACACTGTTACTTCACTCCCTGGTGCTCCACAGCCTGGTATTGTTTAAAGATTTGGTTACTATCTGAGTTGCCTATTTCTTTGCAAGCATGCTATGTGCATTCTAAAGTGTTTTAATTTGAAGGTCAATCTGAAACTGCAACCATTGAAGAGCCACCTGTCAGTTCTGGTTGTGAAAGTCGAAGGACTGAAGAAAGTCAGGTCTGTAATAATATGATTTTCTACCCTGATTGCTTCTTGTAACTTACCAGGACTGATTAACTAATTAGTAATTATTGTCAGATTCAAGTCCAATCTCAGCAAATACCAGAAGGGCCTTCAAGCAGTTTGGCAGGCAGCTCTCAGGGAATTGATGGCTCTAGTAGTTCATTACCTGAACCACTTGGATTGGGGATGGGAGGTTTGCAACTGAAAGTAAGGATGCCTTACCCCCCCCCCCCCCCCCCCCCCCCATATATTTGTCTAGTTCTGTTGGGTATGTAGATGAAGGAAGCTTTCAATAGTTTGTTATTATAAGTTGGATTAAAAATTGGTTATGAATCGAACACTCGAAAGAAAGGGGAAACCTGCCTAGTTAGAGATGTTTGAACTGCCAGCTTGATTGGAAAACACCTTCATGATTGTGATGCACACAATAACCTTCAGTCTTTCACCTTTCATTTTCTTTAGCAAATACAAGTGCACTCTTCTAACAAAGCTTAAGCAGAAAATCTTACAATTTCTGATTGAAATTACTAAAGTTTTATTGGTGTTTAATGTACCTTGAAAATTAGGATTATGTGGTTCTTTGGTTGCTTATATTTGATGTTGTATGCTTTTTCTTTCTTGGTGTACTGGTGAGATCAGAAGAAAATCAAGCAGTCACAAGGAAAGGGTGGCAACAGTGCAGCTACCCCCTGTGCAAATTCCCTGCCTTCAGTACGGTTCTCTCATTCAGCTAGGGAAACTCTGGAGAGTACAAACTCCAGAGGAAATGACCAATCTGGCATTGCAAATGCAATGTCACAAGTTCTTCAGAGTCCTGCTTTAAACGGTCTATTAAGCGGGGTCTCACAACAAACTGGGGTTGGTTCTCCTGATGTCTTCAGGAATATGTTGCAGCAATTTACTCAGAGCCCAGCAATGATGAATGCCGTCAGTCAAATGGCTCAACAGATCGATACTCAAGATCATGGAAGCATGTTTGCTGGATTGGGTGCCGGCCAGGGTGGTGGTGTAGATTTTTCCAATATGCTTCAGCAAATGATGCCACTTGTATCCCAAGCTCTTGGTGGTGTTTCAACTGCAACTCAACAAGCTCCCCTAATGGAAGTCGGGGCAAATGAAGGTGGTGCAAGGAGAGAAACAATACAAACTGCTGAAAATGCTCAGGTTTGTACTTGTCAACAAAGATTACTTCAATGACGATTGAGGGCTTACATACTCATTGTCACATGATACTACTGTTGTTGTATTCATAAGATTGTGCCATTACAGCATGCATGATATATTGATGCATTTTGGGAATTTTGTGTAAACATATTCTGCATATGGAGCTGTGTTTAGATTCCATGTGTAATCTGCTTTAAAAGGTTATTACTCCTCGAATCTGAAACATTCCTTTGTTTAAACAGAGTGGCCTCCAAGAGGTGGCTCAAAGGATAGAACGTAACAACTCACCCGTAGAGATATTCCGTGGTGTAGTTGAAAGTGTGGCTCGCGGGCATCATAATGGGAGCCTTGTGAATCATTTGTGCAATACAGAAGGCCTTGCAAATGTGAGTATATTGGATAAACTACTAATGTACCCATTCTTAATTTAAGCCATCAGTTGACTTAATTACACTATTGGATTGGATTGGCAGGAATTTATGGAGGTGTTGCGTCGTGATATCTCCCAACGACTTCAAGACAAAACAGGAAAGGACCACTAGGAAATCGTAACAGTGTGTCATTTATCTTCACTGCCATGGGATCAGCTTCAGCCAGTGTTATCTTTTTCAAACAATTTTGTAAGAAATTACGAATATTAAACATTACATCTAAGAAATTACGAATATTAAACATTACATCTAAGAGATATTTTATGAGCCAAGAAAGGAAAAAAAAATGTCAATTGAACATAATAGAAGTGAAAATACCATAATACAAATATTGAAACCACTTGAGAAAATTGAGTGACTTATTACTCTGTATTTGAACGTTCACTAAATACAGGTATGTCATTTTTGCATAAAGAAAGACTAGCCAGCCAAAAACAAAAGCCATATATGTCAGCGCAGTTGCTAGTTGAAAACACACATCCAAATATTCATTCGACTTTCAAATTTCAATAATCAACTTTGAGGGTTACTCAACGGTCTCTGTTCTTCATCAGAGTGATCGCTGGCTCTCAGCAGTAGTAGTCACAGAACACATCCTCCTGCAAAAAACTGCTAAGCCAAAGCAGAAAATGGATTATATATTCCTGAAACAAACTAAGGCTTTGAAACAACCTTGATTTCCATTCCGACAGCCTATCAAAGGACATTAGGAAACAGACTCAACCAACACTGACCATACAGCAAATTTGAATGTGATAAGATAGACATGCCGAGAGAAATGTTGCAAATCTATTTTGTAACCTTTTTGTGCAAGAAAATCTGACAGGTACAATACGATCTGTACAAGTACATGAATCAGGCATGTTAACCAACAATTATGGACCCTTACAAATCACCTACAAGCTGATCTAAATAAGCTAACTGCGCATTCGTTTCCTCAGACCTCCATCATCTGTATAACCCTGTAGATAAATTTGAGTAAAGAGTTTTATTATTGACCATGAACCACTTCTACTCTAAAGTTAATACTTCAGTGGAACTTATTTCACATAAGACTCACCTCATCATGTTTTTTGGAAGCCTCAATGCAACTGCTACTAGACTCCGACCTGCATTTTGCATGCACAATGGGACCTAATTGAGACCTATCCATCTCAGTTGTTGACCCAGTTGGTGCATTCATGTAGACAGCCCCCCTGAACATCCATTCCTCAGTCTCATCACTATAAAAATCATCAAAAGGCTCACCACATAAAGCACAAGCATTCTGCTCATCATCTGCAGGAACAGCTAGTTCATCATCATCCTTCTTCTCCACAACATCTTCAAGAGGTAGAAATCCAGGAACTGCATCGGTGCCCAATGCCTCTGCACTACTGAGCCACATACTAAGACTTACAAACCACTTACGAGAAGGATTATGCTTGCGGTTTTTAGATAGCCGGTTCTTGGTTACATGCCAATCCATGTGACTGCTATGAGCATCTTGGGATTTGAATCGAAGACCACATGTTGTGCACTGCCTAGGAAGGGCAGAGTATAGAGCAGTTATTGTTGACTCATGACGCTCCTTTAGGAGTTCCATATTGAACTCAGTGCCCACAGAGTCCTAAACTTTGTATCACAAAGGTAAGAATTTTTTGCAAAATTAACTAAACAGAAAGTTTTAACATATAAAAGGAAGGAATATAATACCTCAGGAGGAGCTTGATTTGATAATGAAATCAAGCCTTGAGCCATCAAAGTGTTGATCAAATTGGAAAAAGTACCACCTTGGGGAGCACTTTGAGTGACTTGACCAGAAGGTTGAAGTGTAGGCATCATTTGAGGTGCAGCAGGAGTTGGAACTCTAGCTATGGGTGGCAAGGCTGCTCCAGTGAACTGCAAAGATGTATTTGGGATATTCACCATAGGCAGAGTAGATTGCACACCAGATACACCCTGACCTTGTGGAGTGTAGCCATAATTCGACGGTGGCATTAGAGTATGAGTTGGAACTGCCATTGCAGCTGGTGGAACCTTATTCTGTAGAACATCCTGACACGGCAACTGTGGTTGTGATAGAGAAATTTGTCCAGACCTTTGATGATTTAATGGGACTGCACCAGGATGTTGAACAGGCAAACGAGGCAACTCAAACTGTGGTCTGAGATCTATATTATCAATACGTCGCTCATTCAGACCATGATTAGCAACTGTATTCATAGCATCAAACTGATCCCTTATCTGTTTTTGAGGTGGGATCATAGACGTTGAATTTAATAACTGAGAATTGTGCGTGCTTATTGTGGGCCATGCACCAGTTGAAAGCCCTGTGTTAACTGCTTGAACATCCTGAACTGAAGAGTTAAAACCAGGATTCACTCTTGAAGCAACACTTGGGGGCCTCCAAAATTTTCCATCTGCAGTTGTTAAATTTCCAACTAAATGAAGCTTTTGCTCACCCACTTTAGTTGAAAGTCCAGTTCCTGAAAGACGCATTGAGGGAGCTCTTCCACCTCCTTCAACCCTAATATGGTGATGGGATTGCTGCGGGAAATCTTGTGGCAGAAACTGAGGTTCTTGACTATAACTTGGAGCTGAAATAAGAGATGCCTCCTCATAGAATCCTGGAATCTTACTAGTTATCCCTCGTCCAGACTGCAGTTCAGAAATTAGTTTTCAATAAATATTCTCTTTTAGGACCAAATAACATTTCATAACAGCAACAATAACAGAAAACAAAAACAAAACGCAAACGATAGTATTTAAGCCTCGAGTATCAAATGAATTGGTGAAAAGGCACCAACTGCCAACTCTATTCCTGTACTAGGTTTTTCTCATTTAACTATTTTTCTTGGCCATATAACTGAAACAGTTAGTGATGACAAGAATAGTCTCCCAAATGAAATTTATCAGGGTGTAAAAAACAAAAGGAAAAGAAGATCAAAAGATCATCACTATCGCAGTGTTCTGCACAGGTTACGGCTTTGTGATAAAAGTTAAAAGACAATGAAGATAATTTAAAAGCAAGGTATAGAAAACAAAAATCAATGCAAACGTAGGTAAACCATACAACAATGAAGTCAATATCATCCACATTGGAAGAGACCTTAACTAAAGAATGCTGGGCCTGATCTGGTAAGCTCCTTCTGGAATCATTGATAGCAGATACGGCTTGAAGAGAACCAACACGGGGTCCGGTTATAAATCTCCCAGATGGTGGCATAGATGATGAAAAATCATTACGCCGACTAGGATCTCCAAGTGTTGGACTCATGTCTTCCCAATTAAATTCTTCCTCTTCAGTATTTTGCCATGTTTTAACACCTACCCTTTTGCCGATACCATTTGCATCTGGCTGACCAAGCTTATGATGATGATAATTAAATGTTTTTTCCCTTTCATCTATTCCATATGCATCAATCAGAGCTCTAGGTCCTTGAAGGTCAACTCCTTTTTTGACATTATATGAAACAGAGTTTTCCAACCGCTGACTGCTATCATCATGTAAAAGATTTCTGTGCCAGTCAATTGTCTCATCATCTCCGGCCATTACTCCATTAAGCCCATAATCTATTCTAGAATGAGATGGTGATGGCCTTTCAGAAATTTGTGGAGAACTTTCTACAGCAAAATCATCAACTGGTGGTGAGAGTGACCTTGCTCGTCCCACACCAAAAGGAGAAGATGACCGTACAGTCCTTGCAGCTGCAGTAGGAAGCAATTTTACAGCATCTATGTCAGAAGATATAAGTCCGGCACGACCAGTAGAGCTCAACTTTTCAGCTCCTACCTGCAAAGAGTTTTACCATTATAAAAGATTTTTCAGTTGTTAGTGTAGAACTCAATTACATTAAACTACTTTTTAGCTAAGAGTTGCAAACCTATTTCATACCATGCATCTCAATTACACTGATGCAGAGGCTGTTTTGAGGGAATTAAAAACTTACAGCATTTATAGTTGAATGCCCTACTAATTGTCTTCTCGCTTCCAAATATTTTGGATTTACATGTATTCCATGACCTGGCCGAGAAGATTCAGAAGCTCTCAAGTTGGTCAAGCCAGAAGATTGATGGCTTGTGGATGGGGAAAACTGGAGGCAAGCCTCAATCTTGCGGAGAACAGATGATGGGAAAACTGTTGACCAGGTACCAAATAGGTGGCGCAGGGCAGCAAACATGTTGGGTTGGACTTGTCTGTAGGCCTCACAAAACACCTAAGGGAATACACATACCATACTGATCTTAAAAGAGTGTAACGCTGTCAATGGACATGATTTAAAATACTCACCTCAGGCAAACGGGCAGAGATGTGCCTTATATATTCCCTGCCTATATTCTTTACAATACTGTCAAGAAGGTAAAGAGATGGCAATTTCTGCTCAACTGGGGCCTGAAGACAAATTTGAGAATTAAGTAAAAAGAACTGCAGAAAACTAAAGCACTCTAAAGCCTATAGAATAAGATAGTGAAGGAAGAGATAAATAAAAAAAGAAGCATCATTTGCAGTAAAGGTTATTACAAGAATGCAGTTGATAAAATTGTTCTGAACCAACGTGTCAACATTCCAGTCTTATCTCAATCAACAGCCCAAGAAAAATGCTTCAGGCATAAAATTATGATTATGTATCATTATGAACCAATTTAATGACCAAAGAAATACCCAAATTAATATTTAAGGCACATCACTGGAACAGCAATTGCTGAGATATTGAAGAATCATCTGCTGCACCCCTTTCTTTCCAGGGGGATCAAGGTGAAAATTATTTACTGCTTGGTGTGTTTCCACAAGAAACAGTTATATTTTAGCTACCCATGACTCTTATATGAATACATGCCCTAAACTTTATTTCCCAAATTCGTGATTCATGATGCATATAATACTACGAGTTTGCTCCTGCTTAATTCAGATGCCTTACTGGACATGTAGTCTTTTGTTCTCATAATTTATTTACTTTTTCCCTTTTGTGCCCAACAGAGATCAATGATAAAAGACCAAAAGTTCAAATTGCAAATTTCATCTTTCTTAAACTATAATACAATTCAAAAAAAAAAAAAAAAGGGAACAAATTCCAATTTTACAGCATACAATTACACAGCAAATACGGACCTCCAGAATACGAGAACAGATTGCATTCGCAATGCCCTGGCTGTGCTCTCTCTGCTCCCCAGCAATTATGGTTAGTTCAGTAATGATAGGCTTCGAATTGAAAGTCAAGTCCGACAACACAATCTCATAAAGCCTCACAACCTCATCCATAGTAGGAGGCGAAATGACACCATCTTCCGAAGAAACCCTAACCTCCTCATCTCGCTCCTTCAACATGGCCTTAAACCGGTCGAGTATTGAGGGCGGCGCGGACTTTGAAGCTCCCGCAGATGTATCGTTTGACATTTGCTTAGAGCTAGCGAAGCTGCCTCCAATGGCCGCTCTAGGGTTCTGCAGTCTTGGTTCGTTCATTGAGTCGATAGGCGATAAACAGATAATAAAGAAAAACGAATAGAAGATACTCCGCAAGTTCAGAGTCTCTACTGCGTAATGGTTAGGATTTTGAACCACCGTGCACGGTGGCGATAGCGGAGGAGAGATAAATGGCCGTTACAGCCCATCCGATTCAGAGAGGGGTTTAGAGTATAGACTATCGAAACAGATATCACCGACGTATGGATTGGCAAAGCACAAAGGCGTCAAATCGTGGGCTCGGGCCTCCGATTCTGGTAATCTGGGTCAAAATTATGACAATTTGCACATTTGATCCTTAAAATGATAGTGTTTTGTGAATCATGTCTTTAAGTATATATCCCTGCCGTTATAACTTTTGTTATCTTTCCACATTATTATTACCATGTACATGCATACACAATATTTTTTCTTACATCCTTCAATGGTAAGTTTGAATTCATTTAGGTTTTAATTAAAATGTTACCATAGTTATATTTAGTAAATTATCATTTCTATAATTCTTACCTCAATAATATTAATATGAATTATACAATTATATATATATATATATATATATATATATATATATATATATATATATATATACACACACACACACTATTATTTTTAAAAAATTAATATAACTAAGATTTTAATATTTAATTTTAATATTGGGCATATATTTTTTGCGCACCGCGCATATAAAATACTAGTAAATAAATAAAAGTGAAGCAATTTGTATTTAACTCATCTAACCATCTAATTTTGTATTTCTAAAAATCACTATATATGTAAAAATTAAAAAAAAAAATCGATTACTCAGCACTTTTTTTAAAAATTTATTGAAAAACAAAAAATCATCATAAATGGAAATAAGTAAAAAGAGAAAACTATGTGAGATGTAAAATATAATTTTAAGTTTTAACATACACGAAACATCCTTCAGTGAATTATATATTATCATTCATATTATAGCAAAATCAAATATATTATATTCGCTAATAATTTATATACATAAACAATAATTTAGATTAAATAACAAAGAAAATGTTTAAGAAAATAATTTTACTTGAATTATTACCAATAAATAAGTAAGAAATTAATAATATTTTTTAAAAAATATCCTTTTCCACTTTGAGAAAGATATAAGACCGGAAAAATGTCTCATAAAGCATATTTTACATGCATGAAAAATAAATATTATAATTATATATATATATATATATATATATATATATATATATATATATATATATATATATCCGAGGTGTATATGCGGGAAGCAAGATTTTTCCTCATATTTGTTGCTCAAATTTCTTGCAATGACTTGCGGTACTCCGAATTATGGATTATAGAATGAGTTCCATTGTTGGTAAACTAAACTAAAACACAAAACAAAATGAAATTAGTTTGATTGAACCCTTTTTACTCGCAAATTATGCTGTGAAACCGAATGCACCTTGCAAGGTGCATATGGTTGCAAAACAGCGCCGTTTTGGTTAAAAAAACGCGCGTCCCACTTAAAAAAGAAATCAGGTTCGATTCCCGGCAATAGCATTTTTATATATCCAGAAATTCATAACTATATAACCACAATTTCATAACTATATATCCACAATTTCATAACTATATATCCACAGTGAATGAATGAAGTAAAAATCCACAACGAATGAATGAATGAAGTAAAAATCCACAATGAATGAATGAATGAAGTAAAAATCCACAATGAATGAACTAAATATCCACAATATATGATTGAACTAAATATCCACAATAAATGAACTAAATATCCATAAATTCATAACTATATAACCACAATTTCATAACTATATATCCACAATTTCATAACTATATATCCACAGTGAATGAATGAAGTAAAAATTCACAATGAATGAATGAATGAAGTAAAAATCCACAATGAATGAATGAATGAAGTAAAAATCCACAATGAATGAACTAAATATCCACAATATATGATTGAACTAAATATCCACAATGAATGAACTAAATATCCATAAATTCATAACTATATAACCACAATTTCATAACTATATATCCACAATTTCATAACTATATATCCACAATAATGCTATTGCTGAGAGTCGAACCTGATTTTTTTTTTTAAAAGTAGGACGCGCGTTTTTAATCAAAACGACGTCGTTTTGAACCGTATGCACCATGCGCATGGTACATTCGGTTGCACAGCATAACTATTGCTTTTTACTAGGCTCAAACTAAAACTACTACACAAATGGCCCATTATTTTTCTTATTGGTCCCTGAGCTCATATATCAATGCTAATTAACTTCATCTTTCTTTTGTTGTTCAGTCATATGCTAATGCCCAACTCAGAAAGTTAGGCCCAATCCAATCACTCGTCAAAATGGACGGACCTCAGCTCCCGTCATGGCGTCATTGCATTGCATGCACTGGCCTTTCAACAAAATCTTGAGAAAAATGTTGAAAGAAAAAAATATTTGATCCATGCGTCTGTTAGAATAATAAACATTTTGAGTTAAGTTAATGTATTTTATGTGTTAGAATAATGTACTTTATATTTGTTAGAATAATAAAATTTCTGAGGTATGATAATGTATTTTATGAGTTATAATAATGTATTTTTATATGTGTTAGAATAATGAAATTTCTAGGGGTAAGATAATGTATTTTATGAGTTAGAATAATGTACTTTATGTGTTAGAATAATGTATTTTATAAATTAGAATAATGTATAATATAATGTACTTTATGTGTTAGAATAATGAAAATTTTAGGATAAGATAATATATTTTATGAGTTAGAATAATGTACTTTATGTGTTAGAATAATATATTTTATGAGTTAGAATAATGTATAATGTACTTTATGTGTTACTCTGTTAGAATAATGATTTTTTTTGGGATAAGATTATGTATTTTATGAGTTGAAATAGTATACTTTTATGTGTTAAAATAGTGTATTTTATGAGTTAGAATAATATATATAATTTATGTTCTTTTTGAACCGTGATCTACACGAGAATAATGATTGCCAAATATGTGAGCCGGCTGAACACAGAAGGCTAGACCTTTGCTTACTGCGCACAATGAGACTCGATCCCTCACTTTAAAATGTTGCTCGCACACTACCACTGGTCGATCTCTGATCGTTCTTATCAAATTTCACATATGTGACCAACTGAGCTGCCCATACAGATCCACTCAGAACTCATGCCGTAATGGGTGATTGTCATACACTCCAACTATATATAATTCGCCCCATTCATTGAATATAAATATTTTCGATCGGGATAAATATTTAAAATGTTTTTTTTCTTTTTTAAATACCAACCAATTTACAGAAGTGAGAGTTTTTTTGTTTTTTGTTTTTTTTTTTTGAAGATGAGTAATGGTGCGATTAAAATTCCACCATATATTTGATTTGCTTAAAATAGATTAAATAGTAAAAACAATTTTAATTTTCAGAAAGGAGAATAAAATAAAATATAATGCAGATGTGACAGATGTTAAGTTACAGTTTGGCGGTATATGCAGCTAGATAGCAATTACACATGTTCAATTTCAAATTAGTTATATATATGTCGTTTTTTAAAAAAGTGTAATCATTTGATGCGTAAGTCCAATCTGATGTGTATAATGTATGCCAAACATCTTTAAGATGTTTCCTTGTAATGTTTGGGAGTCGTTTCACATGTCAATCGCTTTCAAGTATGGCCGGCCTACAAAATGAAATGCATATATACCAATTAAACTGTACTGTTGACTACTCCTTTCAGCGCAGCTTCAATATAATTATATTCCACCGCTTAACATCCATGCATGGTAATGTATCATGTATGTATAATGTATGTATGTTCACATTGCTAGCTAGCTGTCCCTAAACAAACATATATATATGTATATATGCCGCATGTTAAGGTTTTCTTTTTCATTATCTTAATAATAACGACCGTGTTGCTAGTAGCTGTCCGACTTGACCATCCATATACATATATGCATTGTCTAGCTGTCAATGATTAATTGTCTATCAGCTTCATGCATATATGTTTACTCAATTCAAATATATATATTCCATTAATTGCGCCATATTCACTCCTTAACGCGTACCAATCTGTTTTAGTTTTTGCCCCTTTGGGTCAAATTCCAGCCCCCATACTTTACGGCTATTAGCTGCATTTTATTTATTTATTTTCAGCTTAGGTGATCACAACTTTGTTGTGAATTTATACATTCATGACTCATTTATTTCTAACTTGTGTTGTAGTTTATACCAATTAATAGGTTTGGTACTATCATTTTATAATTTCAGGACATTGACAAAATATATATACTGTAAAATAATTAATCAAGTAAATAATCTTTACAATTCATAACCCATTATAAAAGCTTACCAAAATACACACACACACACACACACATATATATATATATATGGTGGAGTGGACCCCCTCCCAACATGGACCCGGAGCAAGCGGGCCTTACCCAAGGCCGGCCCTACCAACCAACATACTCACACCGTACTCATGCCATCTTCATTTTAAGTCATAGTTACGTACACGATAATATCATAATTCACGTGTTTCTTTAATTTATAACAACTTATATATTACTATATCACGCAAAATTAATAAGAATACGTACTTAATAAGTTAAACACTTAATATAAAGTGTCTTTATATATATATATATATATATATATATATATATATATAATTTCTTAGACAATATGATTTGGATGCAATTAGGGTGAATGAAGTGTGAACGCTATGTCCCTAGAGAGAAATCGACCACATTATAAATTAATAGTACAGGAATATTGGGGTGGGGTGTGTTCAGCATTCACACAACCATATTTCCTTTCTATCGCTAAGGTCGTCATTACTTAGATCACGCTTGTATGAGATCGGTGATATGAATCGGGTCGAGTTAGAGTCAGTATGTAAATGTAATATTTATATTAAAAAAATATAATATTTATATTGAAAATATAATACTAATTAAAAATAAAATATGTATTACTTATAAGTAATATTGACAAATTTTTGTTACTTATAAATATTACATTTTATCTTGATTTGACCCGTTTTACGAATTAAAATACGTGAAACGGTCTCACATAAATTTGTACTCTTAAATAATTCATTTTGAGTTTGGCCCACATGTTGAGCTAGATATGAACAGGTTTAATTTCTTATATTTCATATTCCAATGCTGCTTGAATTTAT